GCACTTTGGGAGGCTGAGGCAGGAGGATTGCTTTAGCCTAGGGGTTCAAGACCAGCCTGGACAACACAGTGAGACCTTGAGTTTACAAACTATTAAAAAACAATACCCCAGCATGGTGGTGTGCACCTGTACTACTCAGGAGGCCAAGGTGGGAGGATTGCTTGAGCCCGGGGAGTTGAGGCTGCAGTGAGCTGAGATCACACCACTGCACTCCAGCCCAGGTGACAGTGTGAGAAAAAAGTCTGGCCTGGCACCAAGGCTTACACCTGTAATCCCAGTTCTTTGGAAAGATTGCTTGAGCCCAGGCGTTCAAGACCGGTCTGAGCAACATGGTGAAACCCCAAATTAAAAAATTATCTGGGCATGGTGGTGTAAACCTGTAGTCCTAGCTACTTGGGAGGCTGAGGCAGGAGGATTGCTTGAGCCCAGGAGTTCAAGGCTGCAGTGAATTATGATCATGCCACTGCACTGTAGCCTGGGCAGCAGAGCAAAACCCTGTCTCTAGAAAACTCTGCAGCAATCCCTCCTCCACCCCAACTCACACACTTTTTTTTTCTTTTCTTGGAATATAACATGTTCTCAGAAAAGCACGCTGTTTAGGAGTTTAGCCAACATCTATATCGAGACATTGAATTTTACTAGCATGCCAGAGACTCCTCTCCCAAAAGGAACACTACTAGACTTTTTTCTTTTCTTCTTTCTTTTCCTTAATTTTTTTTTAGTTGTTTTAGAGACAGGGTATTGCCACATTGCCCAGATGGGAGTGCAGTGGCTCTTCACGGGTGCGGTCATAGCACACTGCAGCCTCCAACTCTTAGTCTCAAGTGATCCTACCCCTGCCCAGTCTCCTGAGTAGCTATAGTGTAGCACCTGACGTTTAAACTATAGATGAGTTTTACCTATTTTTGAACTTTCTTTTTTGGAGACAAAGTCTCTCACACAGGCTGGAGTACAATGGCACAATCTTGGCTCACTGCAACCTCCACCTCGTGGCTCAAGCGATCCTCTCACCTCAGCCTCCCAAGTAACTGGGACTACAGACATGCACCACCATACCTGGCTAATATCTGTATACTTTGCAGAGATGGGATTTTACTATGTTACACAAACTGGTCTCAGATTCCTGGGCTCAAGGGATCCACCCACTTCGGCCTGCTAAAGTGCCGGGATTACAGGCATGAGCCACTGCACTCAGCCTTGAACTTTATATGAAGTGTAACCATATACTCTTTGCCTGTCTTCGTTTAACTTATGAGGTTCATCCATATAGTTCCAGATTGAAAGAGTTCATTCAGGCCGGGCATGGTGGCTCAGGCCTGTAATCCCAGCACTTTGGGAGACTGGAGTGGGCAGATCATCTGAGGTCAGGAGTTCAAGACCAGCCAGTCCAACATGGAGAAACCTCGTCTATACTAAAAATACAAAAATTAGCTGGGCGTGGTGGCACATGCCTGTAATCCCAGCTACTCGGGAGCCTGAGGCAGGAGAGTCGCTTGAACCCGGGAGGCAGAGGTTGTGGTGAGCCTAGGTTGCACCATTACACTCCAGCCTAGGCAAGAAGAGTGAAACTCCGTCTCAAAAAAAATAAGAAGGCTGGCCACGGGTGGCTCATGGCTGTAATCCCAGCACTTTGGGAGGCTGAGGTGTGCAGATCATGAGGTCAAGAGATCGTGATCATCCTGGCTAACACGGTGAAACCGCGTCTCTACTAAAAATACAAAAAAATTATCCAGGCATAGTGGTGCGCACCTGTAGTCCTGAGTATCCCAGCTACTCGAAAGGCCAGTGCAGAAGAATCACTTGAACCCGGGAGGCAGAGGTTGCAGTGAGCCAAGATCATGCCACTGCACTCCAGCCTAGGCGACAGCACAAGACTCTGTCTCAAAAAAAAAAGAGTTCATTCATTCTCTTTTTTTGTTTGTTTGTTTGTTTGTTTGTTTGTTTGTTTGAAACGGAGTCTCACGCTGTCGCCCGAGCTGGAGTGCGGTGGCACCGTCTCGGCTCACTGCAGCCTCCACCTCCAAGGTTCAAGCGATTCTCCTGCTTCAGCCTCCCAAGTAACTGGGACTACAGGCGCCCACCACCACGCCCAGATAATTTTTTTGTATTTTTAGTAGAGATGGGGCTTCACTATGTTTAACAGGCTGGTCTTGACCACCTGACTTCATGATCCTCCTGCCTCAGCATCCCAAAATGCTGAGATTACAAGCGTAAGCCACCACACCCAGCCTTCATTTATTCTTTTAACTGTATGGCCTGGCATTCTCTGCTTTTTATTGAAGCACTATTTTTGGCAAGTACTTGGGATTTTAAGGTAATTGTATATTTGGAAATTATTAGCCCTTTTAAATTATCTTGCTATATTAGCTTCTTGACAAAAAGTAAGTAAGGTCACATTTAAAGATTATTAGCATGGTATTCATATAATCTAGTAAATTCTTGAATGAAATACCAGATTTTGGGAGGAAATGTGTTGTGCCATTGCTGCCCTTTGCTTGCTGTCCTCTGTTGTCTTGTGTTCCTGCCCACCTGGTAATCATGTTTGAGGAGCTGAGGTAAAGACAGAAACAGGTAGGCCTAGCAGGATTATAGGACTTGAACCAGTTCAGTGGCAGGATCTCCAGGTTAGGAAAATTGAAAGTATACTGTGCCACTTCACTTCTAAAATATTGATAAAGTAATGTCTAGCTCTCAATCTGTATTTTTCATGTTTCTTTAAGAAAGAGAGGGATTCCTACCATCCTGAAATGTTCTTATGCTTAAATGCCTCTGCAGTGCAGTTAAGCCTGCCCTAAACTCTGGCATTTCCACAAGGGAGAATAGGTGTTAGCCTGTAATACCCTCTTAGCCACTGGGCTGTCATTGGATCCATTGTCTTTATATATCCTCCCTAAAGCCTTCAAAGACCCACTATTTAAATTTGCAGTTTTTGTAGTGCACGCAAATTAAAACATGGCTAGAATTAATTTTTGTTAAAGGAAATTAATTTTCATATTTATTCATGTAAAAAGAATTTGCTGGCCAGGTATGGTGGCTCACACCTGTAATCTCAGCACTTTGACAGGCCAAGGCTGATGGAATCTCTTGAGCCCAGCAGTTAGAGACCAACCTGGGCAACATGGCAAAATCCTGTCTCTACCAAAATACATATATATGTGTGTGTGTGTGTGTGTGTATATATGTGTGTGTGTATATATATATGTGTGTATATATATGTGTGTGTATGTACACAAAATATTGTGTATAGGTATGTATGTGTGTATGTGTATATATATGTGTGTGTGTATATATGTGTGTATATATATGTGTGTGTATATACACAAAATATTGTGTATAGGTATGTATGTGTGTATGTGTATATATATGTGTGTGTGTGTGTGTGTGTGTATACACAGACACATGCATACATACATACACAAAATATTAGCCGGGCATAGGGATGGTGGCACACATCTCTTTTCCCAGTACAGTTTGAATAATTTTTCTTTGCCTAAGATTTTTTTTAATTTTAAAAAAACGACTGGCAAGATAGCTTCATTTTTTTTTTTTCTTTTCTTTTCTTTTTGGAGACATGGTCTTCATCTGTCACCCAGGCTGGAGTGCAGTGGCACAATTTTGGCTTACTGCAACCTTGGCCTCCTGGGCTCAAGCGATCCTCCCACCTCAGGCCTACCCCAAGTAGCTGGGACCACAGGCAAGCACCACCACACCTGGAAAATTTTTGTATTTTTTCGTAGAGATGGGGTCTCTCTATGTTGCCCAGGCTGGTCTCGAACTCCTGGGCTCAAGTGATCCACCTGCCTCAACCTCCCAAAGTGCTGGGATTACATGTGAGAGCTGCCACACCCAGCCAATCACCTAAATTTCCTAAAGTTATTTTAAACTAGTTACAGAATATACAAAATAAAATAGCTCTTTTTTTTTCCCCTTTTACTTTATTTATTTATTTATTGAGTCAGAGTCTCGCACTGTCACCCAGGGTGGAGTGCAATGGCGCAATCTCAGCTCACTGCAACCTCCGCCTCCCACGTTCAAACAGTTCTCCTGCCTTAGCCTCCCAAGCAGCTGGGATTACAGGCTAATTTTTTTTGTATTTTTAGTAGAGACAGGGTTTCATTATGTTGGTCAGGTGGTTTCAAACTCCTGACCTCGTGATCTGCCCGCCTCAGCCTCCCAAGGCGCAATCTCGGCTCACTGCAACCTCTGCTTCCTGGGTTCAAACGATTCTCCCTCCTCAGCCTCCCAAGTAGCTAGGACCACAAGCACAAGTCATCAGGCCCAGCTAATTTTGTGTTTTCAGTAGAGACAGGGTTTCACCATGTTGGCCAGGGTGGTCTCGAACTACTGAACTCAAGTGATCTGCTTCCGTCAGCCTCCCAAAGTGCTGAGGTTACAGACGTGAGCCACTGCGCCCAGCAGATGATGTATTTTTAAGCACCTCTAGAATTATTCTATATTCAACAAATGACAAGCTGTTAAAGACCAAACATCAAAGTCTTCTCTGTGATATTATGGTTTGGGGGTGATTTTTTTCCAAAGGAGAAAAGTACAGATGGATAATAGGGTCTATATTGAGTCTTCACAGATGGGATTCACTGAATTGTTTAAATAGCTAGCTAAATTCATTTGCTTTACTGTATTACTATAAGCTTATTGTAAGTAAAGTCATGTCAAGCCTCTGATGTTATTGAAATTCCAATGTGCTAAAATACAAAGTATTTTCATTGATGGAGAACTTTTAATGAAGACAGATAAGAAAATGTTTTATTTATGCCACTTCTGCATTTTAGGAAATAAACAGCAGCACAGTAATACTTAGGTTGCCTAGTAAATTTTTGTTGAATTGAGTTTTAAAAAGGGACAAAAATGGTTATAAAAATTCCTGTTTTGCTAAGTAAAAAACTATGCGACTTTCTAAAATCTAGAAAGTTACAATTGGAGTGATAACACCGTAAAAGCACATTTTCCCCATTAAAGTAATTAACACTTTTTGGTTTTAGGAATTGGAACGAGCATGGAGAGAATATGATAAGTTAGAATACGATGTAACTGTTACCAGGAACCAGATGCAAGAGCAGCTAGATCACCTTGGTGAAGTTCAGGTACAGAAATATAATATTCTTTATATTGTTTTAACTGTTTTTACTGGTACTATACAATCCACCTTGTTAGATTTCTGCATACCCTTAACAGTTTTTACATTATTGGCTACCTGAGACCTGGATTTGAATACTTTTAATGACAGGAATCTTACTATCTCACAAAGTAGACCATCCCCACTTGTTTAAGAGTTCTTTGTTCTGTTGGGCACATGGTGAGCCCCAGAGTGTTCTGTGCTCCTAGCAGTCTCAGCTCTGCAGTTCCTAAAAACATGGTTTCATATCCTTTCACAAGTCCATCTGTGTCACTTGGTATTGAGATGTTGAATTATATGGATTTATCAAATAATGAATATTTTTATATGTGTGTGTGTGTGTGTGTGTGTATATATATATATATATATATTTTTTTTTTTTTTTTTTTTTGAGATGGAGTTTTGCTCTTGTTGCCCAGGCTGGAGAGCAGTGGCGCAATCTCAGCTCACTGCAACCTCTGCCTCCCGGGTTCAAGCGATTCTCCTGCCTCAGCCTCCCAAGTAGCTGGGATCACAGGCATGTACCACCAAGCCAAGCTAATTTTGTATTTCTTTTTTTTTTAGTAGAGACGGGGTTTCTCTGTGTTGGTCAGGCTGGTCTCAAACTCCTGACCTCAGGTGATCCACCTGCGTCGGCCTCCCAAAGTGCTGGGATTACAGGCTTGAGCCCCTGCGCCCAGCCAATATTTCATCTTTTTAATAAAATTATTCTAATCCTTTCTATATTAAATGTCTCTCATTTTGTGAAATTACATTTGGCCTGTTGACTTCACTGACATATTATTGGAATAGGGGAAGATACAGCACCATTTGCTATAAAGAATCTAGTTAATAAGCAAATAGATCTGACACCTAGTTCCAAGGGTTAGTTTTCTTATCTATAAAATAGAAATAATAATACTTGGCCGGGCATGGTGGCTCACACCTATAGTCCCAGCACTTTTGGAGGCTGAGGTGGGTGGATCACCTGAGGTCAGGAGTTCGAGACCAGCCTGGCCAACATGGTGAAACCTTGTCTCTACTATAAATACAAAAATTAGATGTAGTGGCAGGCATCTGTAATCCCAGCTACTTAGGAGGCTGAGGCAGGAGAATCACTTGAACCCAGGAGGTGGAGGTTGCAGTGAGCTGAGATCCCATGACTGCACTCCAGCCTGGGCAGCATAGCGAGACTCTATCTCAAAAAAAAAAAAAATGAAAGAAAAAGAAATAATACTTATCTTAAAATGTTTCTCTGAGGAATGCAGATAATATATGTTTAAGAAAATAATAAAACTTATTTCATGCTTATGACCAATGTAAATTTGATCCTTTTAGTTGGAAATGCGTGGACTTAACAGACAATGAATAAAAGATTAGTTAAGTTTGAGACCAACCAGCCTGACCAGTATGGCGAAACCCCATCTCTACTAAAAAATTATAAAATTAGCCAGGATGACAAGGTCAGGAGCTCAAAACTAGCCTGGCCAAGATTGTGAAACCCCATCTCTACTAAAAATACAAAATGAGCTGAGTTTGGTGGCAAGCACCTGTAATCCCAGCTACTCGGGAGGCTGAGGCAGGAGAATTGCTTGAACCTGGAAGGTGGAGGTTGCAGGGAGCTGAGATCGCACCATTGTACTCCAGCCTGGGCAACAAGGGTGCAGCTCCATCTCAAAAAAAAAAAAAAAAATTAATAAGGTTGAATCAGAAATTCAGCTGCCCTCTATCTGGGCTGTCCAGCGTAGTACTGGCCACAAGTAGTTGTTGGGCATATGAAATGTGACTATTGTTACTATACAACTAAAACTGAACTTTCAGTTGTTTTTATGTTAACTATCTAAATTTATTTACTTATTTATTGAGTCAGGGTTTTGTTCTGTCACCCAGGCTGGAGTGCAGTAGCATGATCCTAGGTGAAACCTTGAGCTCCTGGGTCCAAGTGATCCTCCTACCTCAGCCTTCCAAAGTGCTGGGATCATCAGCTGGGCACAATGGCTCATGCCTATAATCCCAGCACTTTGGGAGGCCATGGTGGGAGGATCAGTTGAGGCCAGAAGTTTGAGACCAGCCTGGCCAACGCGGTGAAATCCCACCTCTATTAAAAATACAAAAATTAGCTGGGCACCTGTCATCCTGGCTACTTAAGGCTGAGGCAGGAGAATCGCTTGAACCTGGGAGGCAGAGGTTGCAGTGGAGTGGAGATCACACAACTGTATGCCAGCCTGGGCGACAACGGGAGACTCTGTCTCAAAAAAAAAAACAAAGTGCTGGGATTACAGTCATGAGTCACCAAGCCCAGTTTATCTAAATTTAAATGGCCACGTGTGGCTGGGACTTCTGTATCGGACACTGAAGTAACACTGTCAGTAATCGGCTACGATAACCAGCTGCAGGCGCCTGTAGTCCCAGCTACTTGGGAGGCTGTGGCAGGAGAATCACCTGAACCTGGGAGGCAGAGGTTGCAGTGATCCGAGATCGTGCCAGTGCGCTCCAGCCTGAGCAATGGGCAAAAGTCCATCTCAAAAAAAAAAAGAAGAAAGAAATCAGCTACATAAATGAGATACTAAATACACTAGAAAAATAGCTATAAATACCTAAGATGTAACTAGAGGTCAGCAAACTTTCTGTAAAGGTCAAATGTGTCACTGTCACATATTTAATGTTTTTTGTTTTTTTACAACTTTTTTTTTTTTTTTTTTTTTTTTTTTTCTTTGAGATGGAGTTTCACTCTTGTCGCCCAGGCTGGTGTGCAGTGACGTGATCTCTGCTCACTGCAACCTCCACCTCTCGGGTTCAAGTGATTCTCCTGCCTCAGCCTTCCTAGCAGCTAGGATTACAGGCAAGTGCCACCACACCTGGCTAATTTTTGTATTTTTAGTAGAGACAAGGTTTCACCATGTTAGCCAGGCTGGTCTTGAACGCCTGACCTCAGGTGATCTGCCCGCCTCAGCCTCCCAAAGTGCTGGGATTACAGACATGAGCCACCGTGCCCAGCTATAACTTCTTAAAAATGTAAAATTTGTTCTTAACTCACAGGCCATACCAAAAGAGGCTGCAGGCCACAGAAATTTGCCAATCCCAGATTTAACCTACCAAAAAATATATTTATTATGAAAATTTAACCTTATTATAGGATATAAGAGAAGACCTGAATTAATGGAGAAGTGTAATTGGTATACTCTATTCATGGATGGTCTGATTTAACATCATCACAATGAAAATTCTTCCCATAATGCAATTTTATTCCAACCAAATTTCCAGTAGAATTTTCTAAAGAAATTTCTTAAATGGTTCTGATATTTTTAAGGTATAATAAAGACCACAAGTAGTTAAAAAATTTTAAAAAAAATAAAAGAACTAAAAGTCATACTCTATGAATGGTGACATTGCATATACAGCCTTCGACCAGTTACATAACAACTCTGGGTCTCAGTTTCTGCAACTATAAAATAAACTAATACCTACTCCTACTAGGTTATTATGAGGATAAATATGTTTGTATTTTTGCAGCATGTAGAATAAAACCAGGCATATAAAGCACACTATATAAGTGTTTGTTAAATAAATAAACAAGGAAACATAATGCAAAACCATAGTGTTAAACATGGTACAGGAAAAAAATAGACCAATGGAACAGAATAGAGAGTTTAACAGCAGACCATGAATATCCACAAAGCAGAGAGAGAAAGAGAGGGAATTGTTGAACAACATTTGGCTTTATCAAAGTTAAAGATTTACCCTCAATGAAGGCAACATAGACAAAGTAAAAAGATGACCTACTGGGAGGATATATGTTTGACCTCAGAAATTCAACAAGGGATAACTATCTAGATTTGCAAGGAAGTTTTTTTTTTTTTTTTTTTTTTTTGATTTGGAGAAATAGTCCATTAGAAAAAGATACAAAGAACATGAGTAACTAATCATAGGAAAATTCAAATTACTAACAAGTGTTTGAAAAATAGTTCAAAGTTGGCCAAGCACAGTGGTGTATGCCTGAAATCCCAGCACTTTGGGAGTCCAAGTCAGACAGATCACTTGAGGTCAAGAGTTCGAGACCAGCCTGGCCAACATGACGAAACCTCATCTCTACTAAAATACAAAGAAAAATAGCTGGGCATAGTGTCACACACCTGTAATTCCAGCTGCTTGGGAGGCTGAGGCAGTATTGCTTGAACCCAGGAGGCAGAGGTTGCAATGAGCATATATCTTTTAAATTTTATAAAAGTAATACATGTTGTATATAGATGCGCAAGGATTTATTTATAGTGATCTTCCCATCCTCTGTGTCAGTATTTACATCTCTGGGATTGGCTTGGCAATCATTGTGTTTGGCTCTTGTATGGGTACTTTCTTTTTTTTAATTTTTTGATGCTTCCAGGCTGTAGCTTGGAAAACTAGATAACTTAGGTTATGTAGTGCCTTTTTGAAGCAGCATTAATTCATAGTCTTTAGGCTTATAGAATTTTTTGCTTGAGTTTTTTCTTTTTCATTTTCTTTTAATTTTTTTAATCTTTTGATCAACCCCCAAGTGCTTGGAAGACTTTGAAAACATATTTCTTTTTTTTTTTTTTGAGACGGAGTCTCGCTCTGTTGCCCAGGCTGGGTCCAGTGGCCGGATCTCGGCTCACTGTAAGCTCCGCCTCCCGGGTTCACGCCATTCTCCTGCCTCAGCCTCCCGACTCGAGCTGGGACTACAGGCGCCCGCCACCTCGCCCGGCTAGTTTTTTGTATTTTTTAGTAGAGATGGGGTTTCACCGGGTACATATTTCTTTTTTTTCCCCCCCCCGTGACGGAGTCTCACTCTGTCACCTAGGCTGGAGGACAGTGGCACAATCTCAGCTCATTGCAACCTCTTCCCCCAGGCCCAAGTGATTCTCTCACCTCAGCCTCCCAAGTAGCTGGGACCACAGACGTACACCACCCCGTCCAGCTAAGTTTTTGTATTTTTGGTAGAGATGGGGTTTTTCTGTGTTGCCCAGGGAGGTCTTGAACTCCTGAGCTCAAGCAATCTGCCCACCTCAACCTCCCAAAGTGCTGGGATTATAGATGTGAGCCACTGTGCCTGGCTGAAAACATATTTCTACCCCCTTAGAGGACTTTTTTAGCATATTGATGCAATACTGATTGTATTCTATTATCTATAGTCATTAATAACTGATACTCAGTGAAAAAATACTGTTCTGGGCAATGTGACAGTTTTTGTATCTCATTGCCTATTTTTAAAAATAAAGTTACATTCCTAGAATGGTGTTTATTATTATAGAATGGTGTTATTATTACCCAATTTATGAATAAGAGTCATAGAATTCTAATAGAATCTCAGAGAAAACCAATGTAATCTTATTTTGGTTTCAGTTAGTTACTGTATTTAACCTGAGGGCATGATATGGAATATTAAAAGTAAGAAAATTGTCTGGGCGTGGTGGTTCATGCCTGTAATCTCAGCACTTTGGGAGGCCGAGGTGAGCGGATCACCTGAGGTCAGGAATTCAAGACCAGCCTGGTCAACATGGTGAAACCCCGTCTCTACTAAAAATAGAAAATTAGCCGGGTGTGGTGGCGCATGTCTAATCCCAGCTACTCGGGAGACTGAGACAGGGCAATCACTTGAACCTGGGAGGTGGAGGTTGCAGTGAGCTGAGATTGTGCCATTGTACAAAATACAAAAATTATGGCATTCGCCTCTAATCGCAGCTACTCAGGAGGCAGAGGCTGCAGTGAACTGAGAGCTTGCCACTGCACTCCAGCCTGGGCGACAGAGCAAGACTCCGTCTCAAAAAAAAAAAAAACAAATACATTTAAACTCTGTCAGTCAAAACTCATCTTGATATATTTTGTTAGTTGTCCCTTTGTTGTTGTTTTTATGTTCTAGAACCTAGGAAGTTAGTATACCTTCCATTTCTCACCTGTTCCCCAATACCCCGCCATGTTTTCCCCTCCCAGAAATTATTTTTTCTTTTGGGGTTTGTTTCTGCTCTGTTTCCATTCTCTCTGTATTTTCCATTTTTGGTCCCTTTTAATCAATATGCCTTCCTGGGATCATAAATAATGCAAGACAAAGCTTATTGGAAAGATTTAAAATAGTATATTGAAGTATGAAAATTAAATATTTTTCTTTCTCTGCTCAGTCTTTTATATTTGCCACTGGAATTGCAAAATTGGGAGAGTCACATCAGTCATATTAAATATTCATAACACTTAATTCACTGCAATTTGCATTTTTAAAATAGAATTTATATAATTAATATATAATCATTTAACTTCAGTAAATGATTTTCTTTCTTATATGTGGTCTATCCATTTTTACTGATAGACGGAATCAGCAGGAATTCAGCGTGCACAGATTCAGAAAGAACTTTGGCGAATTCAAGATGTCATGGAAGGGCTGAGTAAACACAAGCAGCAAAGAGGTACTACAGAAATAGGTAAATTAGCTTTGCATTTTATTTTGTGACTGACCACAGTGTTACAGTCATGTGTCACTTGGTGACAGATTATGTTCTGAGAAATGCATTGTTAGGTGATTGTGTTGTGCAATCAGAGTGTACTGAAACAAACCTAGTTGTATGGCCTACTACGCACCTAGGCTATGTGGTATAGCTTATTGCTCCCAGGTTGCAAACCTGCACAGCATGTGACTGTACTGAATACTGTAGACAGTTGTAACACAATGTTATTTGTATATCCAAACAGAAAAGGTAATGTGTTATACTATGACATGAGGGCAACAACTAGGCAATAGATATTTCTCACCTCTGGCTGGGTGCGGTGGCTCGCGCCTGTAATCCCATCACTTCGGGAGGCTGAGGTGGGCAGATCACCTGAGGTCAGGAGTTCAAGACCAGCTTGGCCAACGTGGTGAGACCCTGTCTCTACTAAAAATAAAAAAAAAAAAAATTAGCCAAGCATGGTGGTGCATGCCTGTAGTCCCAAATACTCAGAAAGCTTAGATACAGGCAGGGCGCGGTGGCTCACGCCTGTAATCCCAGCACTTTGGGAGGCCGAGGCGGGTGGATCACAAGGTTAGGAGATCAAGACCACGGTGAAACCCCGTCTCTACTAAAAATACAAAAAATTAGCTGGGCACGGTAGTGGGCGCCTGTAGTCCCAGCTACTCAGGAGGCTGAGGCAGGAGAATGGCGTGAACCCGGGAGGCGAAGCTTGCAGTGAGCCGAGATCGTGCCACTGCACTCCAGCCTGGGGGACACAGCAAGACTCCGTCTCAAAAAAAAAAAAAAAGCTTAGATAGGAGAATCACTTGAACCCGGGAGGTGGAGGTTGCAGTGAGCCAAGATCATGCCACTGTATTCCAGCATGGGCAACAGAGGGAGACTGTCTCAAAAAAAAAAAAAAAAAAAAGTTATTTCTCAGTTGCATTATAATCATATGGGACCACTGCCGTATATGTAGTCTGTTGCTGACCAAAACATTGGTATATGGCACATAACTGAATGTCTAAATGGAATGATACATATAATTGAGTTTCTTTTGTTATTTTAATGCACTTTTCTGAACAGGCACTCTTATCAGAGCACAGGTTTATAAAGTAAAAAGCGAAAGCTCTGTCAACCACACCTAAACAAAACTAATTACTGTCTTGTGAGTATAATTATTAATACCCACAATGTTTACACTTTAGAAGTTTTATCCCCACAAGAACTGGGATCTTCCTATATCTATTTTTCAATAATTTGCTTTTTTCTCCGTAACGATACAGTATAATATAAGAATCCATTGTATAAGGGAACTATAATTTATTTATCCATTTCCATATTGATGGATAATGTATGTTGTTTCCAGAGTTTTTTATTTTTGCTGTCATAAGCCATGCCGTAATGAACATTATTAATATATACAACTAAACACCTATGTTAGTGCTTAGTAGATTTCAAAAGGTGAGAAATAAGCACACATTTTCCATTTTGATAGCTGCAGCCAAATTGCCCTCCTGAAGGATTAAATTATGTTAATACCAGTAATGTCTGAGAAAACCCACTTGCCCATACTCTTGTTTAAATATTTGTTGCTTTCTTAATGTAATTGGTTTCCAATTCTGAAAACAATAAGTGAATGATTAGAAACTGAAGACTTCATTTAAAATATGTGAAATGGGCCAGGCGCGATGGCTCATGCCTGTAATCCCAGCACTTTGGGAGGCTGAGGCAGGTGGATCACTTGAGGTCAGGAGTTCAAGACCAGCCTGGCCAACATGACAAAACCCTGACTCTACTAAAAAAAAAAAAAATTGGCCAGATGTGGTGGTACACACCTGTAGTCCCAGCTACTTCGAAGGCTGAGGCAGGAGAATCACTTGAACCTGGGAAGTGGAGGTTGCAGTAAGCTGAGGTCATGCCACTGCACTCCAACCTGGGCAACAGAGTGAAAAACAATTAAAAAAAAAAAAAAAAAAAAAGGCCTGGCGTGGTGGCTCACGCCTCTAATCCCAGTACTTTGGGAGGCAGAGACGGGCAGATCATGAGGTCAAGAGTTCAAGACCAGCCTGGTCAATGTGGTGAAACCCTATCTCTACTAAAAATACAAAAATTAGTCAGGCATGGTGGCATGCACCTATAGTCCCAGCTACTCGGGAGGCTGAGACAGAAGAATCGCTTGAACCTGGCAGGCAGAGGTTGCAGTGAGCCGAGATCTTGCCATTGCACTCTAGCCTGGGCAACAGAGCAAGACTCTGTCTCAAATAAATAAATAAATAAATAAATAAGAATAAAAATAAAATACATGAAATGAAGTTGTTCTTTTTTTGGCTGGACGTGGTGGCTCATGCCTGTAATCCCAGCACTTTCAGAGGCCGAGGCAGGTGAATCACTTAAGGTCAGGAGTTTAAGACCAGCCTGACCAACATGGTGAAACCCCATCTCTACTAAAAATAAAAAAATCAGTTGGGCGTGGTGGTGCACACCTGTAGTCCCAGCTGCAAGAGGCTGAGGCACAAGAATTGCTTGAACCTAGGAGGCGGAGGTTGCAGTGAGCCGAGATCACACTACTACACTCCAACTTGGTCAACAGGACAAGACTTCATTTCAAAACAACAAAAGAAATTGTTCTTTTTTCTATAGTATTAGAAAGATATGTTTAATATAGTTACGTTTTCTAATATTTCTAGGTATGGTAGGATCAAAGCCTTTCTCAACAGTTAAGTACAAAAGTGAGGTAAGTTTGGATTGTTTTTCTAATTATAAATTACTTTTAATGCTTAAGACATGAACTAGAAGTAATTGTCTTCTCTAATCTTAATAACAAAAATATTTTTTAAATATATTGAACAGATATTGTTTTAATCTTGAAATTTTATTGGATCAGTAATTTGGTGCTTCTAATACATTATTTTTCTTCCCTTTTTAATGCAAAAAAATGGAATCTCTGCTTTTTATCTATGTTAGAATTTTAACATTGTCATACTTTTTCTAATCTAAGTAATGTTTGAATACTTATCATTGTTTCTTATACTATGTAAAATTTATAGGATGATTGATAGATAAGTTGGCTGTGTGTCATGCATAGCATAAAGAAATTACAACTACAAAGAGATACTGTCAACCTAACCAAAAGAATCTATTATTTTGAATTTTGTATAAAAGCCAGTCAAAGAGATAACTTTTCTTTTCTTCTCTTAAAAATTGGGGGGCCAGATACAGTGGCTCATGCCTGTAATCCCAGCACCTTTGGAGGCCAAGGCAGGAGGGTGTATTGAGTCCAGGAGTTTGAGACCAGCCTGGTAAACAGAGCAAGACCCCCATCTCTATAAAACATTAAAAAATTAGCCAGACATGGTGTTCCTGTTGGTCCCAGCTACTTGGGAGGCTGAGCCAGGAGGGTCCCTTGAGCCCAGGAGTTCAAGGGTGCAATGAGCTATGTATGATCAAATCACTGCAATATAGCGAGACCCCATCTCTACCAAATAAATAAATAGATAAATTGTGAATATATAAGAATAGGATTTTAAAATCAGTTCTTTCCTTCTAGTTTTAAAATGAAACCCAGTAATTAGTTTTAAATAGTAATCTCTTTCAATGTTGAGCTTCAGTGTGAAGCTAACCTATATGTTACGGGAAAGAATCAGATGTAATTATATGTTAAATTCCAATTATTGGCTATGATAAAAATTTTTGATTTTACTTTTCATTATTAGACTTTTGGCTTGGCAGTGTCCCTTTTAGTATCTTAAAGTAAATTTAAGTTAATATACCATTGCAAAGAATTTAGATATGCTTAATTCAATCTGCTTATCTAAATAAGGTGACTGTTCTACAATCTTTAGGAAGAGGAAGTAGTCCCACCTCGTCCTCCACTTCCTTGGTCCTATGACTTTACAGAGCAGCCTCCCATAATCCCCCCTCTGCCCAGTGATAGCAGCTCCTTGCTCTGTTATAGCAGGGGCCCAGTTCATCTGCCTGAAGAAAAGAAGATGTATCAAGTTCAAGGATATCCAAGAAATGGATCTCACTGTGTAAGTGGCTGGAATAGCCACAGAATAACCAATCATACCTGTCCTCTCATTTTTGAAAATTAATGTATTTTACATTCAAACTTTTTTTTATTATAACCTTTATAACCTCATTTTTAGCCCACAGTTTTTTATTTATATATAACTTCATCATTTGTGTCTTTCCTGTTTTGGTTTTGCTATTCTCATTTTTAATATTTTTATAATTTTAATATTTTATAATTTCATAGCATTTTTCATATTTTCATAAAGTGGTATCTTTGGCCATGATGAAGCAGCCATATTTTAGATATACCATTTCAGGGTATTGGAGGCAAAATTATACCTTCAGATCAGAAAGAAGGGATAAGGAAAAGACCGTTACTAGGAATGGTAAAGGAGCTGGGATGTGGGCGTTTTGGTCTAGGAAAACTACTCAAAGATGTGGATGTTGCTAAGGAGAGATGTGACCCCTAAAAATGGGAAATACGTTTAGGGTTAAGCAAATAATGTAGGATATAATAAGCAAAGAGAATAAGGAAATAAGAATTGAGCTAATTTGAGAACAACAACATGTCTGTGACAGGAATTTTAGTGCTGGGATGAGCCTTACTTATACCACCTTGTGAATGAAAATTTATTGAATTAATATAGTTATTTTTAGCCCTCAATTATTCCATGGTAAAAATGTGACTTGTCCCTAAGAGAAACAGAAACAGAAATACTCTTTTTTTTTTTTTTTTTTTTTGAGACAGAGTCTTACTCTTGCCCAGGCTGGAGTGCAGTGGAGCAATCTTGGCTCACTGCAAGCTCCACCTCCTGGGTTCAAGTGATTCTCCTGCCTCAGCCTTCGGAATGGCTGGGATTATAGGCACACACCACCATGACCAGCTAATTTTGTATTTTTGGTAGAGACAGGTTTTCACCATGTTGACTGGGCTGGTCTCAAACTCCTGGCCTCAGGTGATACCCCCACCTTGGCCTCCCAAAGTGCTGGGATTACAGGTGTGAGCCACTGCGCCCAGCCAGAAATATTCTTAATATTAAAACAAAGTTTTGCCACTTTAAAATTTCTCAAATTTCTTCTTTCCATGTAGTTGTGACGTAGGTATTATTTGTGTTATATCCCAGATGGCTCACTAGGGCTACTAATTTTTAGAGTTTGATTTGTGTCTTTAGCAGTAAACATTTTAAAAGAACTGTTAGCAGTTTTTTGGAGTAATTACATGTCTTCCTTTCAAGGGTCCAGATTATAGACTCTACAAGAGTGAACCAGAGTTAACAACAGTGGCAGAAGTTGATGAATCTAATGGAGAAGAAAAATCAGAACCTGTTTCAGAGATAGAAACTTCAGTTGTTAAAGGTCAGCATTTGTAATATGTTTTACCTCTTGTTTTTTGTTTTTGAAGACAATTTGCTGCTAAAATAGCAGTAAATTCCATTTACATGTTGACTCATATGAGTCCAACCCTTTATCTGAAACCTTTGGACTCTGATGAGTTTCTAAATTAAGAAATTTTCAGATATTGAAAGATAAAATGGCCCATAAATGATATATGTCATCTCAGCTAGGTATGAGGCAGCACCCTTTTTTTAAACACTATTTCTACAATATTCATTCCAAGTGGCATAAATAAATGCTAAAAATAAAAGCATTAGCTGGGCGTGGTGGCAGGTGCCTGTAATCCCAGCTACCCAGGAGGCTGAGGCAGGAGAATCGCTGGAACCCAGGAGGTGGAGGCTACAATGAGCCGAGATCACACCACTGCACTCCAACCTGGACAACAGAGCGAGACTTCATCTCAAATAAATAAAAATAAAAGACATCACATAAGATTAGGTTTTACTGAGAAATGAGTTTATGTCAAACTTTAAAGTTTTCCATTTCTTGGGAGAGTTTTGTTGTTGTTGTTGTTGTTTTCTGTTTCTGGTGATGTCAATGTTTTCTGTTTCTGGTTGTGGTGGTGGTGGTGGTTCTTGTTGTTGTTGTTTTCTGTTTCTGGTGATGTTGATGTTGTTTTCTGTTTCTGGTTGTTGTGGTGGTGGTGGTTCTTGTTATTGTTGTTGTTGTTTGTGATTGGGTCTCCTCGCTCTGTCACCTGAGCTGCTGTACTGGAGCAAACATGGCTCACTGTAACCTTGACCTCCCAGACTCGGTGATCCTCCCACTTCAGCCTTCCAAGTAGCTGGGACCACAGGCCCACACCACCATACCCAACTAATTTTTTAAGTATTTGTAGAGACAAGGTGTTGCTGTGTTGCCCAAGCTGGTCTTGAACTCAGAGGATCAAGCAGTCCTTCCACCTCAGGATTACAAGCATGTGCCACCACACCTGGACAGGGTCTTTTCTGTGTGTGTGTTTAAAATTATGCGTAAGGCATTGATGGCTGAAACAAATTTTTACACAATTTCTACAAAGTAAATTCTGAAATAATATTTCTGTAAAGTATACTCTGATTTTTTTCTTAATGCTGGTCATTTTTCTAGAAGGCAATTGCATAAAGAAAAGAGTAGAGAGAGAACTGTCCTAGATTAAAAAGATAGATAGGCTGGGTGTGGTGGCTCACGCCTGCAGTCCCAGCACTTTGGGAGGCCGAGGCAGGCAGGTCACCTGAGGTCAGGAGGTCAACAACAACAGCAACAACAACCAGAAACAGAAAAAAAAAAACAAAAAACTCTCCCAGGAAATGGAAACTCTGCCAGTCTGGCCAACATAGTGAAACCCCATCTCTACTAAAAGTACAAAAGTTTGGCTGGGCATGGTGGCTTGTGCCTATAATCCCAGCACTTTGGGAGGCCAAGGCGGGCAGATCATGAGGTCAGGAGTTCAAGACCAGCCTGACCAACATGATGAAACCCCATCTCTACTAAAAATAGAAAATTAGCTGGGCATGGTTACTTGCGCCTGTAATCCCAGCTACTCAGGAGGCTGAGGCAGGAGAATCGCTTGAACCAGGGAGGCGGAGGTTGCAGTGAGCAGAGATCATGCTACTGCACTCCAGCCTGGGCGACAGAGTAAGACTTCATCTCAAAAAAAAAAAAAAGAAAAGAAACCCTGTCTCTACTAAAAATACAAAAAATTAGCCGCACATGGGTAACACACACCTGTAGTCCCAGCTACTCAGGAGGCTGAGGCAGGAGAATCACTTGAACCCGGGAGGTGGAGGTTGCAGTGAGCCAAGATCGTACCATTGCACTCCATCCTGGGTGACAGAGTGAGACTCCATCACACACACACAAAAATAATGGATAGATACATCGCAGTGTTTGAAACTTGATTGGACCATGGTTTAAAAGAAGAATATCTAAAGTAGGACAATTATGGAAATTTAAACATGTTCTAGATATTAGCTAGTAGTGTGATCGTGATGTTGTGGTTATGTAGTAGAATGTAGTATGTGAATTCTGAAACACTTAGGACAAAAGCATGTGCCACTTTTAAAGGATTCACCAAAAAGAGTGTGTATGTATTTATGCAGAGATAATGCAAGTGTGACAAAATGTAAAACTTTTTAGAAAAATAAATGCTTATCATAACCCACTGGACTGATTTTTGTAGTCTGCTACAAACTTTACTAAGTAAAGTTTGAAAAACACCTAAGTGAGGCCGGGCACTCAAGCCTATAATCCCAGCACTTTGGGAGGCCGAGATGGGAGGATCACAAGGTCAGGAGATCGAGACCATCCTGGCTAACACGGTGAAACCCCATCTCCACTAAAAAATACAAAATCTAGCCGGGCAAGGTGGCGGGCGCCTGTAGTCCCAGCTACTCCAGAGGCTGAGGCAGGAGAATGGCATAAACCCGGGAGGCGGAGCTTGCAGTGAGCTGAGATCTGGCCTGGGTGACAGAGCGAGACTCCATCTCAAAAAAAAAAAAAGAAAGAAAGAAAAACACCTAAGTGAAGCCAGGCACAGTGGCTCATGCCCATAATCCCAGCATTTTGGGAGGCCGAGGCGGGCGGACCACAAGGTCAGGAGTTCAAGACCAGCATGGCCAACATGGCAAAACCCCATCTTTACTAAAAATAGAAAAATTAGCCAGGTGTGGTGGCAGGCACTTGTAATCCCAGCTACTCAGGAGGCTGGGGCAGGAGAACCGCTTGAACCAGGAGGCGGAGGTTGCAGTGAGTCAAGATCATGCCACTGCACTCCAGCCTGGACAATGACTCCGTCTCAAAAAAAAAAAAGAGCACCGAAGTGGTAGTAATGTTCACATAGCTTTTTTCATAGTTGGAATATTTTTCTAGGTTATCTAATGCCATTTTTTAATTTAAAAATACTGGCATCTTGAAAATTTAATATTTATACACCTTTTCTCTGTCATCCTAATCCTGTCTCCTTATTCAAAGTCTTTTTTTCTTCTTTTCCTTTTTTTTTTTTTTTTTTTTTTTTTTTTGAGACAGGATCTCACTGTCAGCCCAGGCTGGAGTACAGTGGTGCGATCATGGCTCACTGTAGCCTCCTTCATTCAGGCTGCCAAGTAGCTGAGACTACACACGTGTGCCACCACACCTGGCTAATTTTTGTATTTATTGTAGAGACAGGGTTTCACCATGTTGCCCAGGCTTGTCTCAAACTCCTAGGCTCAAGCAATCTGCCTTCCTCAGCCTCCCAGAGTGTTGGGATTATAGGCACGAGCCACCACACCTGGCCACAACAAGGACTTTAAATGGGCTGGGAGCAATGGCTCATACCTGTAATCTCAGCACTTTGGGAGGCCAAAGCAGATGGATTGCTTGATCCCAGGAGTTCAAGACCAGCCTGGTAAACATAACCAGACCTCATCTCTGTTTTATAAAGTAAAAATGTATCTGGTTTTTTTAAAGCATACAACTATTTGACAACAATAGCATATAAATGAGGAGGAAGTTTATTAATATTAATATGCTTTAACATCTTTCTTTTGTTCTGAATCATGGTAATGATCTTGATTAACTTTAGACTTTCTTAAGTTTAAGTATGCATGCTAGGGTATAGGATAAAAGAAATTGTCGAGGCTGCAGAGAGCTGTGATCGTACCACTTACACTTCAGCCTGAACAACACAGCAAGACTCTCGAAGGAGAGAAAGATAATCCAAAAAAGAAAAGAAACTGGAGAAGATGCAAAGCAAAAAAATACATTGTTACAAATAAATCTAAATACATTGGCAATTACAACAAATATAATTGGACTGAATGCTTCACTTTAAAAGATTGGCCGAGGCCGGGCGCGGTGGCTTCCACCTGTAATCCCAACACTTTGGGAGGCCAAGACAGGCAGATCACCTGAGGTCAGGAGTTCCAGACCAGCCTGACCAACATGGTGAAACCCTGTCTCTACTAAAAATACAAAATTAGCCAGGCGTGGTGGCGCATGCCCGTAATCCCAGTTACTCAGGAGGCTGAGGCAGGAGAATCGCTTGAACGCAGGAAGCAGAAATTACAGTGAGCCGAGATCGTGCCATTGCACTCCAACCTGGGCAACAAGAACGAAACTCCATCTCAAAAAATAAAAAAATAAAAAAGACTGGTTGGGCCTAGCGGCACGTGCTTGTAATCCCAGCACTTTGGGAAGCCGAGGCAAGAAGATTGCTTGAGCCCAGGAGTTCAAGACCAGCCTGGGCAACGTGGCAAGATCCTGTCTCTACAAAAAAATAAATTAACCAGGCGTGGTAGTGCATGCCAGTAGTCCCTCCTACTCAGGAGGCTGAGGTGGGAGGATCGCTTGAGCCCAGTAGGCAGAGGTTGCAGTGAGTCAAGGTCGTGCCATTTGCACTCCAGCCTGGGCAACAGAGCAAGATTCCATCTCAAAAAAAAAAGAAAAATACAGAAGAGAAAGTGAAAATGATCACCTATAGTTAGCTATTGTTAACATTGTTCGTGGATGCTTTGAGGCAATATTGTATGATTTTTAAAAGCCAAGCAGAAATTAAGGACATTTAGGTTGAACTAACATGTTAGGATGATGATAGAGATGTATCAGGATGACAAAGAAGGCTTGTGTGTGTGTGTAATAGAGATGGGTCTGTCTGAGCAGGCTGGTCTCAAACTCCTGGCCTGAAGTGATCCTCCCATCTCAGCCTCCCAAAGTGCTAGGATTATAGGCAATGAGCCACGGCACCTGACCAAAAGAGGGCATTTTATAGTTAATGCTCTTAAAAATATCATCAGTTAATCTGTACTATTTTTTCTTATCTTTTTTCTTTTTTTTGTTTTAAGGAGACAAGTTCTTACTTGCTTTGTTGCCCAGGCTGGAGTGCAATGATGCAGTCTCAGCTCACTGCAACCTCTGCAGTGATCCTCTCACCTCAGCCTCCTGAGTAGCTGGGACTATAGGTGTGCACCTCCACACCCACCTAATTTTTTTTTTTTCTTTTCAATTTTTGTGGAGGCAGGGTCTCACTATATTACCCAGGCTGATATGAAAATCCTGAGCTCAAGTGATCCTCCCGCCTCAGCCTCCCAAAATGCTAGGATTACAGCCATGAACAGAATTTTATTTTTAAATGTAACCCTAAATTTATCTGGTGGTATCATTGACTGACTTTGACTCTTTTTATTTTTTATTTATTTATTTATTTATGAGGCAGAGTCCTCTCTGTCACCCAGGCTGGAGTGCAAGGGCACGATCTCAGCTCACTGCAACCTGCACCTCCTAGGTTCGAGCAATTCTCCTGCCTCAGCCTCCTGAGTTGCTGGGATTACAGGCACCTGACACCATGCCTGGCTAATTTTTGTATTTTTTATAGTAGAGACAGCATTTCACCATGTTGGCTAAGCTGGTCTCGAACTCCTGGCTTCCGGTGATCCGCCTGCCTCAGCCTCCCAAAGTGCTGGGATTACAGGCGTGAGTCACCACACCCAGCCTGACTCTTTTTAAATAAATTTGCTTTCTGATTTGAAAAAGTGTGAGAAATTAAGTAAGTTAAAAGAAAGCAATGCTGGAAACAAGATGTTTTGTAGAACTTACTGCTGTTTTAATTTTTAGGTTCCCACTTTCCTGTTGGAGTAGTCCCTCCAAGAACAAAATCACCAACACCCGAATCTTCGACAATAGCTTCATATGTAACCTTGAGGAAAACAAAGAAGATGATGGATCTAAGAACGGTATTTAACTGGAAATTAATGTCTAGAAAGATTCTCAGACCTATTTATTGCTTTTTTACATGATTTCATTTTCAGTGTCTTATCAAAATTATTTTTGCATACTCGAAGAAAAACTTAGTAATCTTAGTTATTCTTAAAATTTCGTTTATATTAGCACGTCAGAGGACAGACCTAGTCAATACCTAATTTAAGTTTCTTTTGATCAGCCTAGACGTGGAGCATAGTCATAGTCCACGATTTGTGGAATCTATTCTCTAATCACTGTGCTACACTCCTCGATGCCTCTAAGAATTTTCTCGATGACAGGTATAGATGTGTCCTGTGGCCACCCAAAAGTTAACGGATTTTCTAGCTATCATGAGGTTGCAGGGCCTTTTAGCTATGGTATTAATAGCTTTAGAGTTTGCCAATCCTCTGGTTACTCTGAGAAATGTGAGTTGGGATTGGAAAATAAGTCCTATATTTTACATTTTCATCTGAGATTCATTTAATTCGAACTCTAAACCAGTCTTGTTTGTTCTTTGGAAAATGCTGAGAATACTTAACTCCTTTTCTTCAAGTATTCTCTAGAAATTCGGGCTGCAAAAATACTTCCACTTTTTATCTTTGTAAATACTCTACCTATTTGGTATGAGATAATTTGAAGCTATAAGACAAGACTGAAAGGTACTACATATAAGATATATGGCTAGTCTTTTTTTTTTTTTTTTTTTTTTTTTTAATGGATAGGGTTTCACTCTGTTTCCTGGGCTGAAGTGCAGTGGCATGATCATAGCTCACTGCAGCCTCCAACTCCTGGACTCAAGGGATCCTCTCACCCCAGCCTCCGGGCTAGCTGGGACAATAAGTATGTACCACCATACTTGGCTCATTTTTTTTTCTTTTGTATTAGTAGTGACGGGGTCTCACTCTTGCCCAGGCTAGCTATTCTTCAAAGATATTAAAGCACAGCGACAAAGTATATGCCAAAAAACTCGGCTGCATTTATATATAAGAAATGTAATGTTTTCAGTTAGTACGAAATTATAAAGATCCATAGAAATAATTATCATGGAATAAAGATAAGGTATCAGCATTAACATTAATGGTCATGATTCTGAAATACTATTGTTTGTTCAGAGAGTTAGGCATTTTTTACAGATTGGAAGATTTCATTGGAAATGGTAAAGCTAAAATAACAAGTCTACAGAAAAAGGACTACAAAAAGTGCATTTTAAAATCAAGCAGAGGGCCGGGCGCGGTGGCTCAAGCCTGTAATCCCAGCACTTTGGGAGGCCGAGACGGGCGGATCACGAGGTCAGGAGATCGAGAGACGATCCCGGCTAACACGGTGAAACCCCGTCTCTACTAAAAAATACAAAAAATTAGCCGGGCGAGGTGGCGGGCGCCTGTAGTCCCAGCTACTCGGGAGGCTGAGGCAGGAGAATGGCGTAAACCCGGGAGGCGGAGCTTGCAGTGAGCTGAGATCCGGCCACTGCACTCCAGCCTGGGTGACAGAGCAAGACTCCGTCTCAAAAAAAAAAAAAAAAAAAAAATCAAGCAGAGGCCAGGTGCTGTAGCTCACACCTGTAATCCCAGCACTTTGAGAGGCCGAGGCAGGCAGGCAGATCATTTGAAGTCAGGAGTTCAAGACCAGCCTGGCCGACATGGTAAAACCCTGTCTCTACTAAAAAATCCAAAAATTAGGTAAGCGTGGTGGCAGGCGCCTGTAGTCTCAGCTACTCAGGAGGCTGAGGCATAAAAATCAGTTGAACCCAGGAGGCAGAGGTCACAGTGAGTTGAGATTGCACCACTGTACTCCAGCCTGGGCAAGAGAGTATGAAACTCTGCCTCAAAAAAAACAAAAACACAAATATAAAATCAAGCAGAAAGATACTAGCAGGTTTAGGCCAGTCATAGTAGCTCATACCTATAATTCCAGCACTTTGGGAGGCCAGGTCTGGAGGATTGCTTGAGCCCAGGAATTCAAGACTAGCCTGAGCAACATAAGGAGACCCCATCTCTACAAAACTTACCAAAAAAAATTAGCCAGGCATAGTGGCCAGTACCTATGGTCTCACCTACTCAAGAGATTTGAGCTCGGGAGGGTGAGGTGAGCCATGATCGCCCCACTGCACCCCAACCTGGGCAACAGAGCGACAGCCTGTCTCAAAAAATAAATAAAGAAAGTTAAAATCACAAGGGAAAATATATTTTACCATTTATTAAGTGGAAATAGTTCATCATAAAGATCTTCGTCCTCATCATCTTCACATTGACTAGATGGAAGAAGAGGGAGTTGTTTTTTTTGGGGGGGTTTCTTTGTTTTTTTGGAGACGGAGTGTCTCCCTGTTACCCAGGCTGGAGTGCAGTGGCGCGATCTCGGCTTACTGCAACCTCTGCCTCCCGGGTTCAAATGATTCTCTTGCCTCAGCCTCCCAAATAGTTGGAACTACAGGCGCCCGCCATCATGCCCGGCTAATTTCTATATTTTTAGTGGACAAAGGGTTTCACCATGTTGGCCAGGCTGGTCTCTAACTCCTGACCTCGTAATGATCTGCCGGCCTCAGCCTCCGAAAGTGCTGGGATTACAGGTGTGAGCCACCATGCCCAGCAATGGAGTTGTTCTTAACTGTCTCAGGAGTGGCAGAGGCAAAAGAGGTAGAAATAGAAGGAGAGGCAGGCACACTCGGTGTAACCTTTATTGAAAACAATCCTCATATAAATGGACTTCTGCAGCTCAATCCTGTGTTGTTCAAGGAACAACTGTATGTATATGTGTGTATATATATGTGTGTGTGTGTATATATATAGGTATGTGTGTATGTATATGTATACTTCATTAAGCATTTTCAAATATGACTGATTTATAGAAAATAAGTGTTTTCATAGTCTTATTACTGATAAGAAAGAAAATATCTAGGGGTGTTTGCTCTATTTGTCTTTTCACGGTAAATGTATAACTTAAAACATTACATTTTCATCAAAATAAAAGAAATCTGTAATATTTAGACACGTGCCCCTGCTTTTCTCCTCGTTTGAGTTTTATGCAGCTTTCCGTTTCAGGGTCATGGGACTGGCTTACTCCAGAGCTACCATATTCTTTGTGTGTGTGTGTGTGTGTGTGTATTTTTTTTTTTTTTGAGACAGACTTTCACTCATTGCCCAGGCTGGCACAATCTCAGTTCACTGCAACCTCTGCCTCCCGGGTTCAAGCGATTCTCCCACCTCAGCCTCCCGAGTAGCTGGGACTACTGGCATGAGCCACCATGCCTGGCTAATTTTTTTTGTACTTTTGTAGAGACGGGTTTTCGCCATGTTGGCCAGGCTGGTCTTGAACTCCTGACCTCAAGTGATCCACCTGCCTCAGCCTCCCAAAGTGCTGGGATTATAGGCATGAGCCACTGTACCCAGCCTGCCCTGCTCTTTTATGGTGGGCATGGTGGTGTTTTTTGTTTTACCCAGATTTTCTGGAACTGAATTATGGGGGTTTGTTTGTTTGTTTGAGATGGGGTCTGGTTCTGTCATCCATTCTGGAGTGCAATAGCATGATCTCAGCTCACTGCAACCTCCACCTCCTGGGCTCAAACCATCCTTCTACCTCAGCCTCCCAAGTAGCTAGGACTATAGGTGTATACCACCACACCTGCCTGGGTAATTTTTGTATTTTTGGTAGAGATGGATTTTCACCATGTTGCCCAGGCTGGTCTCAAACTCCTGGGCTAAAGCAGTCCACCCACCTCAGGCTCCCAAAGTGCTGGGATTACAGGTGTGAGCCACCGCTCCTGGCCCATATACTTTTTTTTTTTTAAGACAAAAAAAAAAAAACTTTTTGTTCCTCTTTTCTCTCTCCTCCCTTATATATCTTCTCACTTTTTCTTTCTGTCATTGACCATACCTCACCAATTACCAGTTAAGGATTAAGTAGCAATTTCATGTGCCTTTCTGGTGATAGCTGAATGACACTCAGAACCTCTTCTTGTGATTTTGAAAACAAAATAAATAAATGCACGTTACAAAATTTTTTATTCCATCATACTTTTCAAAAGTTTTCATCTATGTATTGATATGTTCATTTTTACATTGAAGGAAAGACCAAGAAGTGCGGTGGAACAGCTCTGTTTGGCTGAAAGTACTCGACCTAGGATGACGGTGGAAGAGCAAATGGAAAGAATAAGAAGACATCAACAAGCGTGCCTGAGGGAAAAGAAAAAAGGATTAAATGTTATTGGTGCTTCAGACCAGTCACCCTTACAAAGCCCTTCAAATTTAAGGGATAATCCATTTAGGACTACTCAGGTATATGAATTGCATTTGATTATTCTTTTGTGTAAATCTAATATCACTGAATTTTGGAATCAGAGTTACATGATTGATAGGTCTTAAAAGGTCTGCAGTATGGATAGTTATTTTATATTATTTAATTCTTGTAATAATAAGCTAAAACAGCTAAGTAAAATGTAAATAACCCTGAGTTCAAGATACCAGAGCTAAACTACATGTTGGATGCCCGTGGACCAGTTGTGGACTTAATGTCTTCAACTGTACAGTGATAATACAGCTGCCCAGACACTAAGAAAATAAAAGGGTTTTCAACAAATGTAAAATGCTATGCAGGTTACCAAGATAGTCCCCAATTCCCCTCTCAATAAAATGTGTATTGCTCTGTGTCCTAATTTAACATGACCTAAATTGTAGCAGGAGAGAGCTTCTAAATAAAGTTCCAAGTGTGCTGTCCATCATCTCTCAACTTCAGGCTTAAAAAGTGATGCCATTTTGTTTCCTTTTTTTTTTTTTTTTTTTTTTTTTTTTTTTTTGCCGCTCTTTATAAATTCAGAGATAGCAGCCTAGTCAACCTGTTCAGTAGCTTCTGTCTGGTCTGTCCCTGTTTGTAGACACTTGTCACCTAGCAATAGTATCTTAAAAGTTTGTCTATAATGGCATAAACTGAATGCATCAGCTGAACATGCTTTCCTGTCCTAATGGACATCCCCTCTTTCCATCTAATCAAGAGCAGGCATTGCTAAAGGAGTCTAAACAAAGCAACAGTTTGAATTGTGGCACATTCTGCAAATTACAAAATAAATGCTTTTTTTAAAAGAGTTGAGAAAAATGTGTGGAATACTGCTGTATATATAAATTTTCTTTGTTAGTTTTCATAAGAAAACTTCATGAGTGAAGATCCAGCTTTGTTCTATTTTCAGAATTAACAGGCACTATTTATAAAATATACATGCATGCACAGTATGAATATAAAAATGCTATAACGTCTTTTGAGCAGACTCGAAGGAAGGATGATAACGTTAAGGAACTGGACATTGTCATTAGAGAAAATGATGTAAAGCCAGACCGTGAAACTCCCACAGCAGAAATTGTTCAACTAAAAGAAACTGAACCCCAAAATGTGGACTTCAGCAAAGAGGTAGCGAGATTATTTTAAGAAAGGTATTCCAAAGGAATAGATTAGTGAAGATTAAATCAAATGGTAAGGTTGAAAATAAAGTATATTTCTTTCAGTCACAGAGGCCATAGAGCTAAATGAAAAAATAAGCTTTCTTTAGTTTGATTGATGTATTCAGCCTCATCAAAGCATGCATTAATTGGCCAGACACAGTGGCTCGTGTGTATAATCCCAGCACTTTGAGAAGCTGAGGCAGGCGGATCACTTGAGCTCAGGAGTTTGAGACCAGCTTGGGCAACATGGTGAAACCCTGTCTCTACTAAGAATACAAAAATTAGCCAGGTGTGGTGGCATGCATCTGTAATCCCAACTGCTACTGGGGAAACTGAGGTGGGAGGATCACCTGAGCTTAAGTTGCAGTGAGTAGAAATGGGCCACAGAGTGAGATCCTGTTTCAAAAAAAAAAAAAAATGCGGCCTGGCACAGTGGCTCACGCCTGTAATCCCAGGACTTTGGAGGCCGAGATGAGTGGATCATTTGAGGCCCGGAGTTCGAAATCAGCCTGGTCAAAATAGTGAAACCCTGTCTCTACTAAAAAATACAAAAGTTAGCCGGGCATGGTGGCACATGCCTGTAATCCCTACTTGGGAGGCTGAAGCAGGAGAATTGCTTGAAGCCGGGAGTCGGAGGTTGCAGTGAGCTGAGATCGCGCCACTGCCCTGTAGCCTGGAGGACAGAATGAGATTCCGTCTCCAAAAAAAAAGAAAGAAAAAAGAAAAATTTTTTTAAAAAACTGCATTAACTGAAAATGTAAAACATAATTAGTCAGGGCTAGATTAAATTATCATTAATCCCTGTTAAAGAATCTTATATCCCAACAGCTAGGTCTGTTGCACTATGCATCATCTCTTTTTTTTGAGACAAAATCTCACCCTGTCGCCCAGGCTGGAGTGCAGCAGCGTGATCTTGGCTCACTGCAACCTCCGCCTCCCAGCTTCAAGCGATTCTCCTGCCTTAGCCTCCCAAGTAGTTAGGATTACAGGCATGTGCCACCACGCCCAGCTAATTTTTTGTATCTTTAGTAGAGACAGGGTTTCACCATGTTGACCAGGCTGGTCTCGAACTCCTGACCTCGTGATCTGCCCATCTCGGCCTCCCAAAGTGCTGGGATTACAGGTGTGAGCCACTGTGCCCGGCCTGCATCATCTCTTTAGACAAATAACTTTTTGCATCCTAGTAGTAAAGAATGTTAATATTCTTAATATACTTGAACCTAAATTTATTATCACTAAATATTTGATAGAGTATGATTGTTTAATAAACTGTATTTTGGAATTATTTTAGATTTGCTAATCTAATGTGATAAGAATTCTTTGAAAAGAAAATTTTTCTTTTTATTCTATAGTTAAAAAAAACTGAAAACATTTCATATGAAATGCTTTTTGAACCTGAGCCAAATGGAGTAAATTCTGTGGAAATGATGGATAAAGAAAAAATGCCTGAGGATGTTACATTCAGGTAATATTTAAGAAGAGCAAAGGAATCATTCACAAAATTGTATAACTGCTTAAAAATGGTGAACTTTAGAGTCAAAAGTACTGGATTTCAGCCCCAGCTTAGCTAGCTAGCTAAGAGCTATAGAATCTTGAGCAAGTTATATAACCTCTTAAACTACGCATTCCTCACTTGTAAAAATGGCAATAGGGCTGGCTGCACTGGTGCACATCTATAATTCCAGCACTTTGAAAGGCCAAGGCAGGAGGATCACCTGAGCCCAGGAATTCAAGACCAGCCTGGGCAATGTAATTAGACCTCATCTCTGAAAAAAAAATTAGCCAGGCATGGTGGCATGTGCCTGTATTCCTGGCTACTCGGAGGCTGAGGTGAGAGGATCACTTCAGCCTAGGAGTTCGAGGCTGCAGTGACCCGTCATTGTGCCAGTACACTCCAACCTGGGCAACAGAGTGAGACGCTATCTCCAAAAAAAAAAAAAAAGGCATAATAGCAGTATCTGACAGGTATATTGTAAAGATTAATATGAAAACACATGTGGCAGGGAGCAGTGGCTTATGCCTGTAATCCCAGCACTTTGGGAGGCCAACGGGGGCCAATCACTCGAAGTCAGGAGTTTGAGACTAGCCTGGCCAACATGGTAAAACCCTGTCTCTACTAAAAGTACAAAAATTAGCCAGACATAGTGGTGCATGCCTGTGGTCCCAGCTACTTGGGAGGCTGAGGCAGGAGAAATGCTTGAACCCAGGAGGCAGAGGTTGCAGTGAGCTGAGATCACACCACTGCATTCCAGCCTGGGTGACAGAGTGAAACTCCATCTCAAAAGAAAAGGAAAAAAAAAAAAAAGAAAATACATGTATAACACTTAACACTGTGCTTAGCACCCAGGAAGTATTCAATAAATGATACTTCACTCCAGGTGCCTGCCTGTAGTTGCAGCTACTCAGGAAACTGAGGTGGGAGGATTGCTTGAACCTGGGAGGGCAAGGCTACAGTGAGCCATAATCACGTCACTGCACTCTAGCCTGGGCAACAGAGCAAGACCCTGTCTCAAAAAAATTTTTAAAAGAGAGATAAATACCTTAAAAAAAAAAAGTCAAAAGGCATATAAACTGTGGCAGAGTAAGCAGTTTAGCACTGCCTATACAGTAGGCCCTCCATATCCATGGACTCAGAACCCATGGATATGGAGGGCCAACTGTACTATGCCATTTGATATAAAGGACTTGAGCATCTGCAGATTTTGCTACCTGTAGCGGGTCCTGAAATCAATCTTCCCAGGTAATGATTGACAGTGGTCAAAATTCTAAGCTGTCTCATAAGAGTTCCAGAAATTATGGTGATTTTCTTTTTCCTTTTAGCTATATTTCTTTTTTTTTTTTTTTTTTTTTGAGACAGAGTCTCGCTCTGTCGCCATGGCCGGAGTGCAGTGGCGCAATCTCAGCTCACTGCACTTGGTTCCCAGAGGGGAACCTCTGCCTCCCAGGTTCAGGCAATTCTTCTGCCTCAGCCTCCTAAGTAGCTCAGACTACAGGCACCCACCACCACACACGGCTAATTTTTTTTTTTTTTTTGTATTTTTAGTAGAGACAGGGTTTCACCATGTTAGCCAGGATGGTCTCGATCTCGTGAGCTGACCTCATGATCCGCCCGCCTCGGCCTCCCAGAGTGCTGGGATTACAGGCATGAGCCATTGTGCCTGGCCATCTTTTAGCTGTCTTTTTTTTTTTTTTTCTTTTTTTTTTTTTTTTTTGAGACAGTCTCACTCTGTCACCCGGGCTGGAGTGCAGTAGTGCGATCTAGGCACACTGCAACCTCCACCTCCTGGGTTCAAGCGATTCTCCTGCCTCAGCCTCCCAAGTAGCTGGGATTACAGGCGCATGCCACCATGCCCAACTAATTTTTGTATTTTTTAGTAGAGACGGGACGGGCATGTTGGCCAGGCTGGTCTCAAATTCCTGACCTCGGGTGATTCACCCACCTCAGCCTCCCAAAGTGCTGCGATTACAGACATGAGCCACCATACTCAGCCTTAACTGACCTTCCTAAGAGTATATCTTCAATCTTTCCCTCCGTTAAAAATATTACCAGCACTAGAAAACAGAAATGCTGCCGGGCGCGGTGGCTCAAGCCTGTAATCCCAGCACTTTGGGAGGCCGAGACGGGCGGATCACGAGGTCAGGAGATCGAGCCCATCCTGGCTAACACAGTGAAACCCCGTCTCTACTAAAAAATACAAAAAACTAGCTGGGCGAGGTGGCGGGCGCCTGTAGTCCCAGCTACTTGGGAGGCTGAGGCAAGAGAATGGCGTGAACCCAGGAGGCGGAGCTTGCAGTGAGCTGAGATCTGGCCACTGCACTCCAGCCTGGGCGACAGAGCGAGACTCTGTCTCAAAAAAAAAGAAAACAGAAATGCTGTGGTTTAATGTGATTAGGAATGCCTTTATTTCTTAAATGAATAGCAAGATTGAATTTGAAAAGTATTTGACAATGTCTGATAAGAAAAATATCTCTGCTGAATTTTTGTATTAAGAAGCATGGATTAAAACACACAGTATATTAAAAATTGATGAGTTCATAATGATACAACAACAAAAAAATTGTTGGCCATTTTAGAGGATGCTAGAGAATCAACTTTTATTCCAAAACTTGCTACATTAAGGGAAAGGATCAAGTATTTATCATGTTTTTTTCACAAACTGTAACCAAATAGTTTGAGGAAACTTTTATTTTTAGAAGAATTTCAAGCAAGAGTCAGTATCATTGCTTTGTGGCTGGTCACAGTGGCTCATGCCTGAAATACCAGCACTTTGGGAGGCCGAGGCAGGCAGATCAATTGAGGTCAGGAGTTTGAAACTAGCCTGGCCAATAATATGGTGAAACACTGTCTCTACTAAAAATACAAAAATTATCTGGGCCTAGTGACATATGCCTGTCATCCCATCTGCTTGGGAGGCTGAGGCACAAGAATTCCTTGAGCCAGGGAGGTAGGTGGAGGTCACAGTGAGCCAAGATCCTGCCACTGTACTCCAGCCTGGGTGACAGAGTGAGAATCTGCCTCAAAAAAAAGAGAGTGTCATTGCTTTGCTAACCCTAATGAAATATTGGATTTGAATAGTATTCCTCAGTGGCTGCCAAAGCTGTCAGCTGAAAATCTGACAAGGAGCTTTATGTGAATGGGTCAACCCAATAACCCCTGAACTCACTGATCTTTTCTTTTTTTGGCGGGGGTGGGGATGGGGTCTCACTCTGTGGCCCACATGCTGGAGTGCAGTGGTGCAATCTTGGCTCACTGCAACCTCCGCCCCCGCTGATTCAAGCGATTCTCCTGCCTCAGCCTCCCAAGTAGCTGGGTTTACAGGCGCCTGCCACTGTGCCCAGCTAGTTTTTGTATTTTTAGTAGAAACGGAGAAACAATCTGTTAATGCGATAGTTCATGACACCCACCTAATGAAGTGTTACTTGCCCCTCCAAACCCTAAATTTGAATAAGCCTTAAAATCGTACAACTTTGGCCAGGCGCGGTGGCTCACGCCTGTAATCCCAACACTTTGGGAGGCTGAGGCGGGCGGATCACGAAGTCAGGACTTCGAGACCATCCTGACTAATACGGTGAAACCCCGTCTCTGCTAAAAATACGAAAAGTTAGCCAGATGTAGTGGCAGGTGCCTGTAGTCCCTGCTACTCTGGAGGCTGAGGCAGGAGAATGGCAGGGACCCGGGAGATGGAGCTTGCAGTGAGCCTACATCACGCCACTGCACTCCAGCCTGGGCGACAGAACAAGACTCTGTCTCAAAAAAAAAAAAAAAAAATTAATAATAGTAATAATACAACTTTATAGAGAATCTTGAGGGATACAATCATCAGAATCCAGAATGTGATAAACTATATAGGACAGATAGACCAGGTTCTTTTACATATAAATGGCAAAGAGTAAAAGGGATCTGGGGCAGTTTGTTTTGGATTAAAGTAGACTTTAAGGAATTTGTCAGGTAATATATGGACTTTGTTTGGATCCTGATTCTAATTCTAAAATAACATTATGAGGCACCAGGAAAATTTAAGCACTGACTGGATATTTGATGGCATTAACATATTAAAAATATGTACTGAAGTACTTACAGATTAAATATCATATCTAGAATCTGCTTTAAATGGTTTAGGGAGCGAGGGTTTTAGGGCTTAGATGAAGCAAGATTGGCAAACTGAGTAATTATTGAAATGAATATACAGGTTTATTATTTGCTCTAATTCCTTTGTTTGAAACTTTCAAAAAAAAGAAAAGATTACTTGTAAGAAAATGTTAATTGTTAAACATAGGTGGTGGCATCTTTTATAACAAAAAAAAGAAGAAAAATTAATTGTATTCTATAGTGACAAATTTTTAAATACCAATCTGTTTTCATCAGCCCTCAAGATGAAACACAGATCACAAATCATAAACCAGAAGACCATCCTGAAGAAAATACAAAGAACAATGCTGACGAACAGGAAGAAACTGTTATTTCTTACGAATCAACTCCTGAGGTTTCTAGAGGAAATCAAACAATGGCAGGTAGCTAGTATACATTTCATAATTTTCTACCTGGTGCTTCCTCTGAACTTCTAAATTTATTTTCCATGGGGAGATTCTAAGAAGGGAATCACTTAAGTACCTTGACTATAGATTAGTCAACGTTTGCCTCCCCAAGTGTACCTTCAGGAGGGATGCGGTCCCTGCCAGAGTCTACCCTGGCAGAGGGATCAACACATTGGTTTTGGTTTTGCTTTTTCCTTTCAATTTTAACATATAGAGTAAACTTTTTCTAATAAAATCTTTCAGCCAGGCGCGGTGGCTCACGCCTATAATCCAGCACTTTGGGAGGCCAAGGCAGGTGGATCACAAGGTCAGGAGTTCAAGACCAGCCTGGCCAAGATGGTGAAACCCCATCTCTACTAAAAATACAAAAAATTAGCTGGGCATGGTGGCAGGCACCTCCAATACCAGCTACTCAGGAGGCTGAGGCAGAGAATTGCTTGAACCTGGGAGGCAGAGGTTGCAGTGAGCCGAGATCACGCCCCTGCACTCCACCCTGGATGACAAGAGCAAAACTCTGTCTCTAAATAAATAAATAAATAAGGTAGTGTGCACAGGAGGTCTCACTGTTAAAAAAAAATTGTCACTGGCCAGTTTTGGTTAGTATGTAGCAGGTCTGGATCAAAGTGGTATGATAATATTAAAACCACAGCATTTAAATCATCTATAGTATATAGCTGCATAAAACTAGAAAAGTGGCAACAGAAAATTAACCTCAAAGCAAAAAAAAAAAAAATTATATATATTTTTTTGGTTTTGTTGTTGTTGTTGTTGTTGTTGTTGTTGTTGTTGTTTGAAACAAAGTCTTGCTGTCTTGCCCAGGCTAAAATACAGAGGTGCGATCTCAGCTCATTGCAGCTTCCGGCTCCTGGGTTCAAGCACTTCTCCTGCCCCGACCTCCTGAGTAGCTAGGAATACATGCACGAGCTACCATGTCTGACTAATTTTTGTATTTTTACTAGAATCGGGGTTTCAGCATGTTGGCCAGGCTGGTCTCGAACTCCTGACCTCAAATGATCCGCCAGCCTCGGCCTCCCAAAGTGGTGGGATTACAGACATGAGCCACCACACCCAGCCAAAAAAAAACAAAAAACAAAAACAAAATTAAATAGTCTTCAGGAAACATTTTATACTGAATAATTAGATTGCAGATTAGAAAATAACAGTCTGTAATCCCAGCACTTTGGGAGGCCGAGGCGGGCAGATCACAAAGTCAGGAGACTGAGATCATCCTGGTTAACACAGTGAAACCCCATCTCTACTAAAAATACAAGAAATTAGCCGGGCGTGGTGGCGGGCACCTGTAGTCCCAGCTACTCGGGAGGCTGAGGCAGGAGAATGGCGTGAACCCGGGAGGCGGAGCTTGCAGTGAGCCAAGATCGTGCCACTGCACTCCAGCCTGGGCAACAATGCAAGACTCTGTATCTAAAAAAAAAAGAAGAAGAAGAAGAAAATAACAGGCTGGGCACATAATCCCAACACTTTGGGAGACCGAGATGGGCGTATCGCATGATGCCAAGAGTTCGAGACCAGCCTGGACAACATAGACCGCATCTTGATTAATAAAAATTTGTTTTTAATTATTTAAAAAGAAAAAATCACGGTAGAACCAAATGCATCTATTACTTATTTCTCAAAACATGTTCTCATTTTTGTGGGATTACAACATCAGGATTTACTTCTCCAAATGTGTCTTAAAGATTTTTATCTTCTCCCATTTTCTTTGTGTGTTTTAGTGAAAAGTCTGTCCCCATCTCCTGAGTCCTCGGCATCGCCAGTTCCGTCCACTCAGCCGCAGCTCACAGAAGGCTCACATTTCATGTGTGTGTAGTCCCAGGAGAAGTACGTCATTTCCCTTTGCATTTGTGCTTTAGAGTTTTTCACTTGTATTTTATGACTCATCTGTTGGTTTAGTGAATCAAAACTGGGATTAGTTCTGGACTGTGCATAGGGATAGTTGGCAGAACAAGTAGGCCGTATCTTGGAACCAGGGTCAGTAACAGATTGCTAACGTTGGCTCTTCCGAGGATTTGCTGCGTGACAGCATTTTCTTTGTCTCTTATTTCATCATCCAGAAAAACAACAAAATTTGGAGAGTATGGCCTGTGCCAAGACTTGCAGTGTTGTACAGCTGTGCTTCTACTTAATGTTCCTTTCCATAGCCTGACCTGAGAATTCTGTTTAAGTCATTACACGTTGACTGTGTAATGCTTTTTACAGTTAGTGTGACGTGTCTGCCCACTGGGAATTTGCTAATTATTGTAAATGACAATGAAATGTTTATGGTACAGCCAACTTGATAGAATACTAAAATCTTTAATGTCTATCTGATATTATTTCTAAGTAATTGCATTCTATTAAGTCACGGAGGTAGTTACTAAAACCAGGGATGGTATCGGAGAAGAAGGAATCCTTTCTTGAACAGTGTTCCTTAGAGCACAGATTTATAATTGAGAATAATTTCCTAAATTCTTCCTTTTAAACTTTCTAGACAATTGCTAATTTTAACCCATAATTTAGTACTTACAGAGTACTCTAAATGTTTTTTAACTTTTTATGAAAGCTCTGGTATAGAGTAAGAATGTTATGCCTCTTTCTGCATTTTCTTTCTCACAGCATCTACCATATCTAGTCAAGTTTGGTGCTTTAGGATTACCACCAGTTTCTGCTGAACAATTATAAGCATTATTACTAACATATTCTTTTATTTATTTTTTTTCTTGTTTTTTTTCACGTTATTTCTTTTTTCAGAGATGTCACCCATGCTGGAGTATAGTGGCATAATCAGAGCTCACTGCAGCCTTGACGTCCTGGACTCAAGCAGTCCTCCTGCCTCAGCCTTACAAGTAGCTGGGATCACAAGTGCACGCCACCACACCTGGCTAATATTTTGATTTTCTTGTAGAGACGGTCTTACTAAGTTGCCCATGCTGGTCTCAAGCTCCTGAACTCAAGCTAACCTACCACTGCGCCTAGCCTCTTTGATTTTTACATTCTGAAAATATTTCTTTTATTTATTTTTTTATTTTTATTTTTATTTTTTTTTGAGACAGGGTCTTACTCTGTCACCCGGGCTGGAGTGCAGTGGCGCAATATCATGGCTCAGTGGTTCACTGCAGGCTGACCTCCCAGGCTCAAGCAGTCCTCCCACCTCAGCCCCCTGAGTAGCTGGGACTACAGTTGTGTGCCACCATGCCAGGCTAATTTTTTTGTAGAGATGGAGTTTTCACCATGTTGCCCAGGCTGGTCTCAAACTCCTGAGCTCAAGTGATCTGTCTGCCTCAGCCTCCCAAAGTGCTGAGATTACAGGTGTGAGCCACCACACCTAGCCTTTTTTCTTTCTTTTCAAGTATGTTTTAAATTTCACTAGCTTTGGGTACAAGTGGTTTTGGGTTACATGGAAGAATTGTACAGTGGTGAAGTCTGAGATTTTAGTGCACCCATTACCCGAGTAGTGTATGTTGTAGCCAATATGTTTTTTTTATCCTTGTGTGACCTTCCACCCTCTCCCTTGTGAGTCTCCAGAGTCCATTATACCACACTGTATGCCTTTGCATACCCATAGCATAGCTCCAACTTACAAGTGAAAACTTACGATATTTGGTTTTCCTTTCCTGAGTTACTTTACTTCGAATAATGGTCTCTAGCTCCATCCAAGTTGCTGCAAAATACATTATTGTATTCCTTTTTATTACTGAGTAGTATTCCATGGTGTATATAAACCACATTTTCTTTATCCACTCCTTGGTTGATGGACACTTACGTTGGTTGCATACCCTTGGAGTTGCAAATTGTGCTGCTATAAACATGCATGTAAGAAAATGAGTAATAACTCATTTTCTTTTGGGTTAGTGGGATTGCTGGATCAAATGGTAGATCTACTTTTCATTCTTTAAGGAATCTCCACACTGTTTTCCATAGTGGTTGTACTAGTTTACATCTCCACCGGCAGTGTAAAAGTGTTTCCTTCTCACCACATCCATACCAACGTCTGTTGTTTTTTGACTTTTAAATTGTGGCCATTCTTTTTATTTATTTATTTATTTTTTTTTTTTTTTTGAGATTCTCTCTCTGTCACCAGGCCGGAGTGCAGTGGCACAATCTTGGCTCACTTCAACCTCCGCCTCCCGGATTCACGCCATTCTCCTGCCTCAGCCTCCCAAATAGCTGGGACTACAGGCGCATGCCACCACGCCCGGCTAATTTTTGTATTTTTAGTAGAGATGGGGTTTCACCGTGTTGGCCAGTATGGTCTCGATCACTTTACCTCATGATCCGCCCGTCTCAGCCTCCCAAAGTGCTGACATGACCCACTGCACCCGGCCAATTATGGCATTCTTGCAGGAATAAGGAGGCATCTCGTTGTGTATCTTCTTTTGAAAAATGCCTATTCCTGTCATTTGCCCACTTTTTGATGGGATTATTTGGTTTTTTTCCTTGCTGATTTGTTTTGAGTTCCTTCCAGATTCTAGATATTAGTCCTTTGTTGGATTCATAGTTGGCAAATATTTCCTCCCATCCTGTTTTCTCGAATCTACTTCCTTTCACACCTTTTTGTAGCAACTATAATCTGTGCCCTTTTTTTCAGCCCAAAGTTTTTTGTTGTCTTTTCATATTTGTAACTTTTATTTGAGATTATGTCTACCTGGAACCTCAAAGAGGCTGTTGTTTGTTGTTGGTTGGTGTCTGTGCAGGATTGAAGTGCTTGCTGGAGAGTTACAAATAACCTAATTGTTACAGTATTACCTGTGTTTTGCCTCTGTCACTTGTGTTTAAGCCTTTTTTGTTTTGTTTTGTTTTGTTTTTTCCTTTTTTTAGACCAGGTCTCACCCTGTTGCCCAGGCTGGAATGCAATGGTGAGATCTTGGAGCCTTGTCCTCCTGGGCTTAAGTGATCCTCCCATGACAGCCTCCCAAGTAGCTGGGACCACAGGCATGTGCGACCAAGCCTGGCTGATTTTTTGTATTTTTTGTAGAGTAGGGGTTTCACCATGTTGCCCAGGCTGGTCTCAAACTCCTGAGCTCAAGCGCGCTGCCTGCCTCAGTTTCCCAAAGCACTGAGATTACAAGATTGAGCCACCTCACCTGGCTGTGTTTAAACTTTTAATTTAATACGTTTAGAAGTGACTGTTGAGGCCAGGCACAGTAATGCCAGCACTTTGGGAGGCCAAGGCTGGTGGATCACTTGAGGTCAGGAGTTCTAGACCAGCCTGGCCAAAATGGTAAAACCCCATCTCTACTTAAAAATACAAAAATTAGCTGGGCATGGTGTTGGGCACCTGTAATCCCAGCTACCTGGGAGGCTGAGACAGGAGAATTGCTTGAACCTGGGAGGCAGAGGTTGCAATGAGCCAAGATCACACCACTGCACTCCAGCCTGGGTGACAGAACAAGACTGTCCCAAAAAAAAAAAAAAGAAGAAAATCTGGGTATGGTGGCTCACACCTGTAATCCCACACTTTGGGAGGCCGAGGCAGGCAGGTCACCTGAGGTCAAGAGTTCAAGACCAGCGTGACCAACATGGAGAAACCCAGTCTCTACTAAAAATACAAAATTAGCTGGGCGTGGTGGCACATGCCTGTAATCCCAGCTACTTGGGAGGCTGAGGCAGGAGAATCGCTTGAACCCGGAGGCAGAGGTTGCAGTGAGCCGAGGTCGTGCCATTGCACTCCAGCCTGGGCAACAAGAACAAAACTCTGTCTCAAAAAATAAAATTAAAAAAAAAGTGACGGTTGCTACTGGTGACATAACAACACAAAACATAGGAAAAATAAACATTGGACTCATTTGATTCATTAAGAGCCATTCATATAATATTTTGATTCAATAAACAGATTATGACTGTACACATATCCTTCCAATAATAAAGGATATTCTGAGTTAAAACTCAAGCATATTTCCAGGTTCCTTAAATTGTTATAGGATTTTATTTTGTTTTCCTCTTATTCCAAGAGCAGTGGCATTCTGTAATGAGGGATAATTATTGTCAGATATTTTCTAGTCTCATGGTATGCAGCCACCACAAACAACTAAAGGGCATGAAAACTTGTAGTTATTATTTTATATCTTCCTATTATGCATATGCCATCTTTCTGAACTAGCGGTTTTGGCAGGATTTAGGAAACCTTTACAAATGACACTACTATGTAGGCAGCTCAATATATCATTACATATTTTAGTGGAGTTATGCAGATGTTTGCTCATTTTGTTGATCTTTTGGATTCAGCTACAAGTTTGGATTTTTTTTTTTTTTTTTTTTTTTTTTTTTTGCAGTTGCAAGATTTAATAGAGTGAAAACAGAGCTCCCATAAAATGGGAGGGGACCCAAAGGGGGTTGGGGGTTGCCGTTGCCAGTGGTACATTTTTTATTCTGTATTGCTATTTATAATTGCATTATGTTGGCCAGGCACAGTGGCTCACATCTGTAATCCCAACACTTTGGGAGGCCGAGGCGGGCGGAACACACGGTCGGGAGATCGAGACCATTGTGGCCAACATGGTGAAACTCCATCTCTACTAAAAATACAAAAATTAGCTGGGTGTGGTGGCGTGCACCTGTAGTCTCAGCTACTCTAGAGACTGAGGCAGGAAAATCACTTGACCCCGAGAGGTGGAAGTTGCAGTGAGCCAAGATCGCGCCACTGCACTCCAGCCTGGTGACAGAGTGAGACTCCATCTCAAAAATAATAAGAAGGCCGGGCGCAGTGGCTCACACCTGTAATCCTAGCACTTTGGGAGGCTGAGGCGGGCGGAGTGCCTGAGTTCAAGAGTTTGAGACCAGCCTGGGCAACACAGTGAAACCCCATCTCTACTAAAACACAAAAAATTAGTTGGGTGTGGCAATGTGCACGTGTAGTCCCAGCTACTCAGGAGGCTGAGGCAAGAGAATTGCTGGAACCCGGGAGGCAGAGGTTGCAGTGAGCCGAGATTGCGCCACTGCACTCCACCCTGGGCAACAGAGTGAGACTCCGTCTCCAAAATAATAATAATAATAATAATAATAATAATAATGAGGAGGAGGAGGAGGAAGAATAATTGCATTACATTATGTTTCCTTGTGGGGCCGAGTATAGTGGCTCATGCTTTTAATCCCAGCACTTTGGGAGGCCAAGGCAGGCAGATCACTTGAGGCCAGGAGTTCGAGACCAGCCTGGCCAACATGGTGAAACCCCGTCTCTACTAAAAATACAAAAATTAGCCAGGCATGGTGATACATGCCTGTAATCCCAGCTAGTTGGGAGGCTGAGGCAGGAGAATCACTTGAACCCAGGAGGCAGTGGTTGCAGAGAGCCAGGATCGCACCACTGCACCCCAGCCTAGGCAACAGAGTGAGACCCTGTCTCAAAAAAAAAAAAAAAAAATTGTATTATGTTTCTTTGCTTTGTGAATTAAGCTATGGAAATTAAGAAAAATATCCTTTGGTTGCATTGTGTTTTAGGATTTTCATGGCCATGCTTGTCAGTTCTGTTGTTATAGAATGTCACCCTTAGTTACTTTGGGAAATGGTAATTGATTAACGTTGCAGGTGTCAAAGTAATTTCGTCTTTCTTATTTTTCAGCTATACTGACTTCTGTTGAAACCATTCAAAGCTAAAGACATGGACCTTCAGCAGTGTAAGAAGATATTGTACAGTATATTTTAAATCTATGAAATTCATAGTTCTGATGCTTTTGGTCACAGAGCATCATTTTATCACTTCTGGAAAATGTTTATTCCAAAACAGCTTTAATGGCCCATATGTACACTCCGTAATCTCAAGGTTATTATTCTGACACCAGCTTGCTGCTATGATTTCAGAGCACATAAGTAAAGGTGCTTTTTAATGTGCAGTCTATTGCCAGAGCTTACTTAGTTGCTGATTTCCAGATTTCGATGTTTCTGAAGTCTAGGTGAATTTATATATATATTTTTTTTTTTTTTTGCTTTTCATTTTCTTCAGTTAGTTATTATTTCCAATGAAGCTTGTTTTCTTTTTTTTTTTTTTTTCTTCCCATTTTGGCTACTGCAGTGCTTTTGTTTCACACTTGATTTGTAAAAAATTTATATATATATATATATATATATTTAAAATGTGCCATTTTATTGCTAAGTGAAGTATGTCCTGTTTTCTGCTATAATTCTTTCTCGGTCAGATTGCAATGTCAGCAGTTACTGCCACACTCCTGTCAGCTTAAACACAAATGTTAGCGCTTACCTTTTCTTAAAAAAAAAAAAAAAACAAAGTGTAGGTATTTTGAAGTACTGGGCTTATATTTCATTGGAATACATGTGTACAGCAATAAGCAGGTTTTCAAATCCAGTACTTAGTTTGTGTACAAATGTAATTATGTTCATTGTGTATATATTATACAATGAGCACATGTAATGTATTAAAGGCTACTTACTATTGTTTAAATGCAAATGTTCATATCTCATTTCTTTTTTATCATGTTAAATAAATGTTGATGTTCTTAAATCAGTTGTGTTAGAATTTTTGTTCTTTCCATCCAAAATTGAAAGTCTTAAGACTCAAGAGAGTTCTAGAAGAAAAGGTACTCTGTTAATCTGATAATCCTAGACAACATCCTAAAAGACCCTTGTCGGTCCAGCCCTCCCATGTCAAAGTTGAGGACCTTGAGGCTCAAAGAGATCAATTGACTTGGCCACAATTTAATGACAGAATTTTGACCAGACTATAGTTTTTTCTGACTTTTCCTCTAAGTACATTACATTAGCTCATTACCACTAGAGGAATTTAGTTTTGTGAAGTCTTTCACTATGTTTCTATTTGCTTCCATGTTTCAGAAAGTAAAAGTAAGACTACTTTAAGCATCAATTGTCGTGCTCTGCTTAGGGATTGGACTTTGAGAGAGGTGTGTAAGGCAGCTATTTGTCTGACATGGGTAGCTAGAAACTGTTTCATCATAAGTAGGACCCTCAGAGATCATTTTCTCTCACAATATATTCTTTGCAGATGTTCACGCTCTTCAGAATCAATTACATTTTCTTCCCTCTGTAACCTTTTGTTCATGCTATATATTGTTCCCAGAGTACATGGAAATTTGATGCTTTTGGATTCCTGCATAAAATGGCTGAAACTAAATTGGCATTAGTCAGTCTTTTTTTCCTCCCCATCCTATGTTAAAGAGGATTTAGATTTAATTCAAAATGCAAATGTATAAAAATTCTTCTCCAAACACAATGAAATGAAAAGAGATACAATGTATATTGGGAGATGAAAGAAAACAGAAGTGAAAATGGACCCCTCTCTGTGTCCGTGTACATATGTGTAATATGTTTACACATACTACCTTTCTCTAAAGATGTCACACAAAAGTCTTCTCAAAAGAAACAGTCACCAAATTATTATTTCCCTTTAGTCATGATACAATGATTGTTTCAGAGCTTTTGTCATTGTGTTGGGGAACAATTGCTTTTGTTTGGGTTTTTTTTTCTTTTTTATCTTTTGAGATGGAGTCTTGCTCTGTCGCGCAGGCTGGAGTGTAGTAGCGTGTGATCTCGTCTCACTGCTGCAGCCTCCGCCTCCTGGGTTCAAGCAATTCTCTTGCTTCAGCCTCGCGAGTAGCTGGGATTACAGGCTCATTTTGCGGGTTTTTTGGGGGATTTTTTGAGACGGAGTCTTGCTCTGTCGCCAGGCTGGAGTGCAGTGGCCTGATCTCACCTCACTGCAACTGCCTCCTAGGTTCAAGGGATTCTCCTGCCTCAGCCTCCCAAGTAGCTGGGACTACAGGCACACAGCACCACGCCCAACTGATTTTTGTATGTTTTTGTTTCGTTTTGTTTTTTTGAGGCGGAGTCTTGCTCTGTCGCCCAGGCTGGAGTGCAGTGGCACAATCTCCGCTCACTGCAAGCTCCACCTCCCGGGTTCACGCCATTCTCCTGCCTCAGCCTCCTGAGTAGCTTGGACTACAGGCGCCCGCCACCACACTGGGCTAATTTTTTTTATCCTTTAGTAGAAACAGGGTTTCACCATGTTAGCCAGGATGGTCTCAATCTCCTGACCTTGTGATCCGCCTGCCTTGGCCTCCCAAAGTGCTGGGATTACAGGCATGAACTACCGCGCCCAGCCAATTTTTATATTTATAGTAGAGATGGGGTTTCACCATGTTGGCCAGGATGGTCTGGATCTCTTGACCTCGTGATGCGCCCACTGCAGCCTCTCAAAGTGCTGGGATTGCAGGTGTAAGCCACCAAGCCCGGCCTAATTTTTGTATTTTTAATAGAGATGGGGTTTCACCATGTTTGAGACCAGGCTGGTCTCAAATTCCTGACCTCGTGATCCACCCACCTTGGCCTCCCAAAGTGCTGGGGTTACAGGCATGAGCCACTGTGCCCAGCCTTGTTTGGGTTTTTGTGGGAAGGGAGTGTGTGTGTGTGTCTCTCTCTTTGGTTTTATTAAGCACAACATTTTTTAACTGTTCCAAGAAGGAAAAATATTCCTTACTGGGATCCTTAGAAGCCTAGAAAATATGGAGAAAGCAGCATGAACTAGTTGTGATTCTTGTCAACATTTCAGAAAGCCAGATGAAAACCGTTTATTCACAAACAGTAAGTCCGTCGGGCGTAGTGGCTCACACCTGTAATTCCAGCACTCTGGGAGCCTGAGGCTGGTAGATCACCTGAGGTCAGGAATTTGAGACCAGCCTGGCTAACATGGTGAAATCCTGTCTCTACTAAAAATACAAAAATTAGCTGGGTGTGGTGGTGTGTGCCTATAATCCCAGCTACTTGGGAGGCTGAGGCAGGAGAATCACTTGAACCCGAGGTGGTGGTGAGACAAGATCACATCACCGCACTCCAGCTTGGGTGACACAATGAAACTCTGTCTCAGAAAAAACACACAAACAGTAAGTCAGCATAGATGCTTATTACATGCTATAACAAAAGGGAATACTAGTTCTTCAAACATTTTAATTAGATCAGTACCTTCCGTCTTACTTAGAGTTCGCCTTATCTAACTCCCCCTTACTGGAGTGGTGCACACACGGCCCGGGAAGTGTGGAGACTAATGGTAAGGAGGGCAGGCAGGTTGGCAGGGCCTTTACTTCAGGTAGGGGAATCAGCATGAGGGAGCTACTTCCCAGAGGCTTGGAAGCTTGCTCTGAAGTTCTTAGTGCTCAGCGTCCTGTTGGGTTGATGGCTTTGCAAGTCCCTCATACCCACCTACCCCCAGTTTATAGAAAGACGAGTCATACTGCTATGGTGATCAAAAATGAAACACAGGCCAGGCGCGGTTGCTCAAGCCTGTAATCCCAGCACTTTGGAAGGCCGAGACAGGCGGATCACGAGGTCAGGAGATCGAGACCATCCTGGCTAACATGGTAAAACCCCGTCTCTACTAAAAAATAAAAAAAAACTAGCCGGGCGTGGTGGTGGGTGCCTGTAGTCCCAGTTACTCGGGAGGCTGAGGCAGGAGAATGGCGTAAACCCAGGAGGCGGAGCTTGCAGTGAGC